ACTGGAGTTCAGACGTGTGCTCTTCCGTATGGCTTTTGACAATTATTATTAATCAAACTTCTTTGAAAATACTTAATATAAATATCAACTTTAATTAATTTCTACACTAGTTGTTAGGATTGCGTTTCCTAAAACAGTTTATTTAATAATAAATAATCCTCACCTCAAGGAACATAGTATTTCAAATGTAAATATAAAAATTAATCCATTATTAATTCCAGCGTTTATGCGAGGTGTATTATTTTAATAATACTATAAAATACGAGAGTTATAACTTATAAAAGTTATAAACTTATATCTATAAATGTAAACAAAAAATCTACACATTTTAACGAGCAAATTAAAATAAAGCACATAAAGTAACTTACATTACTTTCTGAATCCCAATTAATATTTAATGTACTGAAAATGTGTATTAAAAATATATATTAAAAATTAGGTAATATATCGTTTACATAGCAATTTTTTGCAAAAAAAACCAATTTTTCGGAAAAAACTGATTTTTTCCAGCAATTTGAAAAAAACAACTTTTTTAAACTATACATGGGTACCGACTTTAAACTTTCTTTTGACCGCCACTGCATATCAAAAGTTAATATAATATGTATGTATGTATATTATAATCTGTATGTAAGTGTTTGTACCTTTATCAAACCCATGTCATGTTGAGTTCTTCCTCGAGCGTTAACATCATATTCGGGGTGGTGCCAACAGCCATCCATTTTATAAGAATGTCCACCTTTATTGAAATAGGTTGTGCCAGTAACAATTTTCGTATCTCCCTTAAGATTGTACTTAATCAGTGGCAAGACGCAATGCGCGGCAGTTAAGATGCAGTTTGGTGCTATTATGCTACCGCCGCAAAAGTAATCTCCTCGGACCATTATGGCGCAGACATGCGGATACTTGTCTACTGTGGTGGGTGTCCCATCTACCATCCTTTCTGTTCCATTGCCATATATACCTGCCAATGTACAGTAAGATAGGTAAGTTAACATAGAGATTTTTCGTTTTGTCAAAAACTCGAAGACGATTTAGGTTTTTGACAGGGTTGGATAAGTTAATCTTTTTTTTAACTAAGATAAGTTAAAGTTAAGAGCCTTGAAAATATAACTTTGTTAAAGATATAAGTTAAACCATGATAAAATTAATTGAATTAAAAGTTAAGTTAATAAAAAAAGTTGAGTTTAACTGAAAAGTTAAAAGTTAAAATTTTTTCATATGAAAATCTAATCGAGACCGTTCAAAAATTCAAACAAGATAGAAAACGCCAAACGGGGTCTAAAGCGGATCTTGGTGCTTGGTAATAAATTTTGTGTGACCCGTGAATAACGATTTCTTTCTGCGATTAAGTTGTATATATTATATTAATAACTTCTCTTGATGTACGTTCTCAAGTTCGAGTTTGAAAATATCGACGCTTTATTAAATTCTATATGTATTACATGTGTTACACAATTACAAGTTATATTAATAGTAGATGTGCCAGAAGGAATAACGAATTGATTTATTTCAATTCATTTTTTTAGATTTCTCTGATTCTATGGTAATATAAATATTTTTCAATTATACAGGATGTTCGGTACTCAATGGTAAATCGTTCGTAGATAGATAGAGTGGGCTAAACTGAGCAGAAAAGTCCTCTATCATTTTGCAATGATCTTCGCAATAGTTACCGAAATATTAATTTATAAAGATCATCGAACGCGTGGCAAAATACGGCTGCCCACCGCGGTCGCCTGTAGCGCACGGCGCGGGGGGGGG